GGCCACTGTGGCCCTCAGTAGGAAGGGGGGCTGGAGGACTCAGCTCGGGGTAGCACCTCTGCTACTTCCCATAAAATCCCAGGGGTCTCCAGCTCAAGCCATGTCACCCCCCGCCCTCCAGTCACTGCTCCCCAAGGCCCTAAGGATAAGTTGGGCTCAGGGCCCTTTGTGGCCTGGCTTTGGGAGCCTTGCCAACCTTCTCTCCTCTTCCCCAGGGACCTTCCCACATCTAGGCCTTTGCACATGCTGTTCCACTGCCTGGGATCCAGAGATGTCTGTAAATAAAATCATTTCTGCCCAATGGGGTGAGCCAGTGAGAGAAGGAAACCCCGGCCAGCACATCAGAGGGAACAGGTGTCAGACTGGGCCTGGAGGGCTGGGTTTGGAAGTCTAGCAATTTTCCAAGAGAACACCCTGGGGAGGGTGTCCCACGGGTAAGCATATGGAAGAGGGGATATGGGATGGGGAGGACAGGCCACCCAAAGAGGTGGGAGCACTGACCTGCTGAAGAATCACCATGGTCCCAAGTCAGGAGCTCCTGCTGCCCACTGGGCCAGGCACAGTTCTGCAGGGAGACAGACCGTGTCATGCTTCTGGGCAGGCCAGCCCTGGAAGCCTGGAGCCTGGCTGGGGTCACCTGGGCTCCTCCCAAAGCCCCAGCTCCTCCTCCCTCGAGGGAACCCTCCCTGGCTTCTCTCCCTCTGGCCACTGCCCAACCTGCGTGACCTGAGCCTCAGCCACCGTTACCAGCACCACTGCCCAGAGCAGCTGAATTCTTCTTTCAGCCACTGTCATTCAGAGATTCCCAAAGGGCTCCTAGAAAGTAGCAAGTCTGGCCCCACCAGGGACCTATGGCAAAGGGGCCCAGAGAGGGACCAAGACTTGCCCAGGGTCACACAGCTAGCCAGAGCAAATATAGGACTAGGACTTAATCTCCGGCACTCAGCTTAGGGATTGTCCCAGGAATGTGGGTGACAAGGACAAGCCTGAGAGAGGGGAAGGTCATGGGCTGGGCATGACCTGCTCACGGCACACCCTGCCTGAAACCTCTCAAGAGCACCCACCGCCCTCAGGATGGCTCTGTGCAGAGCACTGGCTGCCGACGGGGAGGCAGGGTCATTGGGGTCTGTCTCTGGCTGTGCTGCTGAATGCACCGCACCTGGGCCCCCCACGCCCAGCATAGTCTGGCACCTGCTGATGCCTCAGTCTTTTCTCTCACTGCTCACTCCCTTTCATACCCTTATACTTGGACATCCTCAGTGACTCACTGTTCCTGAAAAACGCCAGCTCTTGCCATCTCCTGGCCTTTACACACTGGCCCTTCTACCTGAAATTTTGACTAGTGAATTTCCACCTATGGTTCATGGCTCAGTTCAGATGATACCTCCTCCAAGAAGCCTTCCCTGACCACCCCAAAGCTGCCAAGAGCCTCTATATTCCCCTTTATCCCATTTTGACTATATGCATTGTGTTGTCAGGGTAAGGATCTGTCCCACCTCTGCCCCCAAAGTTGGGGAGTTGATCCAGGGTGGGATGTAGCCGGTGGGAGAGGGTCTGAGACATTGCCTTGTCTCCAGCCTTGCCCAGCACAGGGCCAGGCCCAGAGATGGGCTCTGGAAGGAGCTTAAAAGGCAGCCCCAGCCTACAGGCCCTGGTGTGAGGCCCCTCTGGCTCCCAACCTGTCCCCTAGAATGCGCATCAATTTTTCACAAGGGACCATTCAGAGCTGCCGGGGCATTCGATCCTCTGCCCATGACACCGCCTGACACCCGAGCCCTGACCCCTGCCCTGGAGCTCTGGGACACAGCAAACCCACGGTCCTTCCAGAGACCTGAACTAGTCTGGGTGCCTGGTAGGGGTGTGGATTCCACAGGGCCAGCAGGCAAATGCCACTGGGCGCTTGTCTGAAGATGGTGCCCAGGCTGTGGAGCCGGCGCCCTATGCCAGCATGAGCCATGAGGGCTGGGGGCAGAGCCAGTGCTCTCACTAGAGATGTGGGGCTCCAAGGGATGTGGATCAGAGGAGAGTGGTGAGGGCATGGAATTTAAGGGCCACATGTTAAAATGACAAGACATACATTTTATTTCTAAAAATGAGAACTAGACCACATTCAAGTTAATTTCTTTTCCAACTGACCACAGCGGCCATAGGCTGTATTTATATTTCTATGTCTATGCCTGGTTTTACCTCTTCCCCACTACAACCCCGGCTGGTGGGGCTTCATACTCCCATTTCACAGATGGGACATTTGGTGCATAGAGGAAGGAAGTGACTTATCCAGAAATAGAGATAAAGGGTGTCAGAGAGAAAGCAAAGGAGACAGAGAGAGAACGGACTCTTCTCTCTCTCTGCCACCACAGCACGTCTAGTCCCCTGGCCCCAGGATGCCCCTAACCCCAGCCCCAGCTCAGAGAAGATGTGATGGACAACATGCCCCTTGGCTCTTCCCTCCTCCAGGGGACACGTGTCCATCTTCCCAGGCTTAGGACAATTTCGTTCAGTGGCTGTGGTGACTGAGCCCTCAAGGGTGGCAGGAAGCCTAGTCCCAGGAGAAAGTGGCTGCAGGGCAGAGGATCTAGAGGTAGCTCAAGTCCATGACTCCTCCACATCCAAACCCCTCCCAACGCCCCAGGACAGTGGGCAGCCCATCCTTACCTGGGGCCCAGCTGCTCACTCTCAGTGGCCTGCCAGCCTGGTACAGCTGCCACCTGCACGGAGGACTCGGGAAGCTGGGGTCATGGGCCCAGCCAGTCTGCAAACACACGTCCCCTCTTCCTCTGTCTGGCTCCGAGTCTCGCTCTGGGCGTCCCTCTGGATATTTTCCTTCCTCGCCGTCTCTCTGTGTGTGTCTTGTCTCTCCCTCTCTCTCCTGCCCAGAGCGGCTGTCCAGCCAGCACTGCTGCCCTCCCCTCCTCACTCCAGAGCCTTCTCCCAGGAGGCGGAGCCGGAGGGGGCCTCCAAGGTCTGGGTGCGGTGACATCAGCTTGGGGGACAGGCTGTGCTGGGGCTGGGACTAATGTCCAGAGGCTGCTCAGGGCTCTGTTCGGAGCACTGGCTGCCGACAGGGAGGCAGGGTCATTGGGGTCTATCTCTGGCTGTGCTGCTGAATGCACCACACCTGGGCCTGGGCACCCCAGGCTGGCTTCAGGTGCCTCCTGTTGTTTGCAGGACACGGCCTGCTGTCTCAGCACCTGAGCAGGAAACCCCATGTGATCCTGACTTAGTCTCTGATGAGCTGGGGTCTCAGCCCGCCGCCCTCCTCCAGCCCCATTTCCTCCTCCTCGACCTGGCTGTTTGAGAGAGAGAACGGTCAGGCAGAGCATGGCAGGAGAGAGAGTGCTGAGCTATAGCCCTGCCTTCTGCGCCTTCTCCCTCCTGCACACCCACCCTTGCCTCTGATGTGTGTCCCCTGACGCTGGTCAATGCAACATCGCCCCCACAACCTGCTCTGCGGGTTGGGGACACATGTTATTCTGTAATCATCCAGAAACTTTGCCAAACCAGCTGACTAGGAGCCACCCCACATGTGACAGCGACACATACAAACTGAAGTGAAATCTGTGATTTAAAGGGGTGGGCGGAACCAAACAAAGAGGAGCACAGGTCTTAGTTATTAGCGTTGTCGAGGGTGGAGACCTCCCGGGATCCTATCAGGACCTGGCAATTTCTCCTTTCCACCCTCGGTGGCCACGCACCTGTCGGCAGCCCCATCGTGCACCTCTCCAGGGCAGCTCTGAGTGGCAGAAGGATGTCTCTTTTGGGTCCCTAGCCCCCATAACTGGGGTGTCTGCAGGGAAGCCAGCCAGAAAGTGGGTTGGGGGGCTCAAAGGGGCGCTATAGCTCGCCAGCGCCGCCTGCTGGTCACAGGCCCCACTGCCCCGCTGCTTCCCTCAGGCGGGCTGAGCACCGCTGGGAAGTGACAGGAGGCAGCTTCTGCTAGGGCCTGGGTCCCCTCAGACCCGACGACCCTGACCCAGGAAGACCCCAGGATGCCGTCTGCCCCTTAGTCTGGTGGGCCTAACAGGAGTCCAGGAGTCCCTGGAACACAGTCCCCACCTAGGATTTACACCTGCTGCCGAAACCTAGTACTGGCCACTCCTCGAGTCCCCCCTCTCCATACTCCCAGGCTAGGCAGGGCCAGTGGTGTCAGCCCTACACGGTGGGAAAATGAGACCCCGGGGGAGCACAGGGGAGCCCATGGCACACGGCTGGCAGCAAGGACAAAATGCAGTGAGCTGTGGGGATGGGACAGAGAGGTGAGCAGGTTGTGGGGGACAGGGTGGCCTCCAAACACCAGGATGACAGCTACATTGTGCTCAGCCACGCTATGAACCAGACACTATGCCAAGCAGATCACACGATTTGCAACGTCCATTTCTCAGTCCCATGAAGAAAGCGAGGCATCTCAGTTCACTTTGCCCTCACACTGCACTCACCCCCTGTCTCCCAAGTCCAGTTTTCCATTGAGTCATCCATTCTGCTTTCAGAATCATCCCAACCCTGCTGCTTCCCACCACCACACCAGCTTCCTGGCCCAAGATGCCTGCGTCTGCCCTTAGTAGCCTCTGCTCTGGTCCCCCGACACCTTCCTGTGCCCCCGAAAGCCCATCTCCTCTTCCCAGCCCTTCACGCACAGATCAGGGAGTAGGCGGTCTCTAACCCAGCAGGCCCACACTGTCCCATCAGTAATGTGTGGTGTAGTTTGTCATGACCAGAGTATGTCTTTGTGCTCCCTGCTCGTTTGTAGACTGTTCCAGAGCAGTGATTGCTATGTCTGGTTCCCCACATCCCAGGTGTCCAGGACAGGCCTTGGCACAAAGCCAGCCCCGTACAGATCTACTGAATTAAGGAATGACTGAATGATCCCCCCAATCTCAGCTCACAGGTGCACCAGGCAGGCAGCGGGGTCTTCCCTCTGACCAGAGGACAGTCGCCCAGGCCTGGGGAATATTCCTCCATTGTCCCTTCCCCCCAGAGGGACAGAGAGACACAGGAAAGTCTTTTTGGAATTGTGATAAGATTTATTGAGACTAGAACAGGCTTCTTGTCCCCCAACCCCGTGGTGGATCCTGAGAAGAGGGAAGCCCAGGTCTGGGTAGTGTGGGCTGCAGACCCCACCCACCTGCAAATGGGGACTCCCAGGCCCCCATGGGTGCATACAGTGAACAAAGTAATTGCTCTCCCCTACCTCCCCTGATCCTTACCTGCCTGGCCCCCAAGGTCTCCTGGGGACCAGAGATCCCTGCAATAGCCAGGAGCCAGCCTGGCCCACCTCAAGGGGCAGGAAGCAAAGGCAGCACTGTGGAACCTGTTCTGTCAGGGGGTGGCAGGCATGGCCTGGCCCCGAGGCTGAAGCCCACAGGTCTGCCACTTGGTCCTGGTGTACCCCTGTATCCCAGGGGACATGGCTGAGCAAAGTCCCATGTGTTAGCCCGAGGTGCAAGCTGGCTCACTTCTCCTACTCAAGAGCCTTGATTTGAAATAGACATAGAGAAGTGGTGATTACATGAACATATATATATCTAGTGTGTGTGCATACAGAGATACATAGAGAAAGGGGTATTATTTTGCCCTTACTCAGCACTTGGTAGTAAGAGTGCTGACACACAAGAATCATTGGCCCCACTTTGTAGAAGGGGGAAATTGAGGCACAGGAGGTTTAAGTGACTTGCTCCCAGTCATGCAGAGTCCTGGCCCCAGGCCCAGGTTCTTGAGGGGAAGTCCCGGCTTTCAAGAAAGAATGCTCTTGTCCTCCTTGTTGTTCATTTCCTGGCCCCTCATATGGCCCAGGGCCAAGACCCAGGAGCAGAGCCAGACACAGAGTGAGGAGGCAAAGTCAGAGAATCCAGCACCTCCAGCCAGAACACTGATCCAGACAGCAGGATCTGGAGTCGAAAAGTCAAGTTCCCAAAAGGAATTCCCAGCAAGGACACAGGAATTCCTGTTCTTGAATTAACTGCACTTTTTCATTTGCTACACCTGGTCTGGAACCCCGAGAAGGGCACAGAAGAGATCCCAAGTGGGTCATGGCGCCAACGCTTACGAAGAGTTCTCCAAAGGACCAGCAAAACTGGAGCCAAGAAGAAAAATGGAGGTTCAGACTTTGAATTTTCTTTTAAAACCCCTGATTAAAATTGAGGTTTTCAACACAAAAATAATATAAAACATTGAGGACTAAAAGGAACATTTTGGTCCGGGCAGGAAGAAGAGCACTGTGGCCTCCTAGGCTGCATTTTGGGGGAATGTTGGTGGGGGGCTGTGGTCAGGTGATGGGGCTCCCTATCTCCTGCCAAGCCCAGTGGGTGGCCTGACTCTGGTAGGCCTGGCACCACACACCCCAGAGTCCTGTCTTTCAGGAAAAGCTGGGGTCTTACAGCAGAGAGGCTCTGGGAGCACCTCTCCCCTTCTGGTCCCCAAAGCCCCTCCACCTGCCTGGCCTCTGGCCCACTAACCCAGGCATGCTCCTTCCAGCATGGGGCAGAGGAGTCAGGAAGACGCCCTTCCTCACCCCCACTGATACCACCTCTCCAGGGACCTTAACCCAGGGGCTGGGAATGGAATCGGAAGCTAGAATGAGCAGGCAGCTGCAGCTCCCCTGGGTATCTGCCTCTGAGAGGACCTGAGGACAGAGGCGAGGCCCAAGGTAGAGGCCGGAGGAGGGCCCCGCTTCACCTGGGGCCTCAAAGGTGTCATTTATTCATTCGGCAAATCTCCATTGAGGAAATGGATGGATGAGTGGACAGGATTAGAGAATGAACAAATGTCACCTGCATATTTTCCCAATTCCAGCCTGAGCAGGAACCCGGCAGGAGCCAAGAGTCCTTTCAAGGTGGGACAACACCAGGTATTGCTGATGGGGAAAGTGGGGTCTGGGAGGCTGGGTTGGGCCTAAGACACAAGGAGCAAGAATGGGGCTTGGGGATGTGGCAGTTTGTGTGTAAACAAGTGACATCTTCTTGGCACTCCTCGGCAGACAGCAGGGCCTTAGGAAAACGTTTTCAACGGATAGAGTCCCTTAGCAGTGGTGACAGTTGAGGTGGGGAGGACTATTTGAAATCTCAGCAAGGAAACTCCTCCACGAGAAGGGAATGCTTTGGGGCCCTCAGGACACTGAGGCTGAGAGAGGGGCAGAGACTTCCTAAGGTCACACAGCAAGTCAATGGAAGAGTGGGAAAAGGACCCCAGTGTCCTGGCTCCCAGGCTAGACCCAGGCCCAGTGGGGACATGCAGATGGTAGTGGGAACTGCTGGAGCCAGGTAGGTGGGCAGGTGTCAGACAGCCATGAGGGAGGTGCTGCTGAGAATGTGCACAGCCACAGTGCCTGGCAGGTCGCTGGGCTGCCGGCTGTTTCGGTCCCGGAGGTGGAGGGTATGTAGGGCCTGGAGGTCGTCTGGGTCAGCCTTTAGGTGCACCTGGCCCAGAAATTCATCCTTTAGCACTCGATGGTTCCAGACCTGGGAAGAGACAGAGGATCATGGGAGGGGCGGGCTACCTCCAAGTCCAGAAAGTAGGAAGCAAGGGCAGCACTGTGGAACCTGTTCTGTCAGGGGGTGGCAGGCATGGCCTGGCCCCAAGGCTGAAGCCCACAGGTCTGCCACTTGGTCCTGGTGTGCCCCTGTATCCCAGGGGACATGGCTGAGCACAGTCCCACGTGTTAGCCCAAGGTGCAAGCTGGCTCACTTCTCCACCCTCTACTCAGGTCTATGGGGAGTGCTGGTGGTGGTGGCAGGGCCTTGAAGTGCAAGCCTGGCTGAGGATCGGGGGCCCTGGGCTGTCTGCCTCTCCATGAACCATGGGCAAGGTGGTGCCCCTTCCAGCCTCAGGCTCCTCAGCTAACTAAGCTCCCTCCCATGCATAAAGTGAAATCTGTTATCAGCTCCGCTAGTGATCTTGGGTGAACTTGGACAAGTGATACACCCACTGCCCTAGTTTCCCCATCTTTAATATGAGGGTTGAGTCAGCTGCCCTTAGGGGTCTTTCCAGCCCTGAGACATACAGGTCTGTGATTTGATCCAGTGGGACCCAGTGTTAAGAAAACTTGATAAGCCACAGTGGCTCCCCCAGGGGGCCCCAAATGCTTGTTTACAGATGCTGTCTCATTGACAGAGATGCTGACCAAGGCCTGCGGGCCAGAGAGCTCCCTACTATTGAGTTCAGAATCATCATCCCCAGGCTACATCAGCCTGAGAGGAGAAGGAAGCCGTGCGAGGACACTGGCTTTCTATGCCCTGCCCCAGGCTCTTGGGAAATAGCCACACCCACCACACAGCGGCTCAGTGCCACTTTCCAGGTGGGGCCCCCATGGGGGAATGGGGGGACAGTTCCCAAAGCTGAGGGTGAGGTCAGCAGAGATGACTGCTGTCCCTAGTCAGGAGACTAACCCTGCTGGATCTCAGGACCACACCAACGAATCAAATTAACCCACCTACAGAGGGATCTTGGAGTGGCAAGAGAGCTCCCAAAGCCACACCAGGGGTCAGGAACAGACAGCTGGAGCCCAGCATGCCTGGGTCCCCGTCAGAGGGTGTTCCACCTGGGCTTGTCTCTGTGAGTGGGGAAGCCTCAGGCTGGGAGCCCAGGGGGTGGCCTCTGGAACCAGGGGCTCACCTGTACAGTGATGGGCTGGCTCAGCTTCTTGCGGTAGAAGATGCCTTTCACATTGTACTCTGGTGTGGAGGTGCCCTTCTGCACAGCCGAGCGGACTTTGTCCCCCTCACACTTGATGATTACGTAAGAGTTAGCCCCTAGGGAGAGGGAGTGGGAGATGGGGTGAGGGTGGGGGCGGGGGCTGCGGCAGGGCCTGGATGGGACAGATATCTGCAGGTGAGATACCCACCTGGCTCAGTTATTCAGATAGAGAGACTGGAGCCTGACCCACCTCAAGGCCCCTCCGTTTCCAGAGACAGGCTGGCCAGCAGCGGTGCACTGGCCATCTCCAGCCTCCAGAGCTTTACCCACACTGCTCCCTCTGCCCGGAGCACCTTTCTCCCTTACCCCCTTTCATCAGGCTTTGTATCTTCTCAGCCTGGAAAAAGGCTACTCCCATGGCCGGGC